CTACATATTTGGCAGAAACATTGGAAGGCCTTGCACGCAGCTTGGTATTCACAATGGACCAATTCGATCAAAAGACTAGCCCCGAGCATCACGGAAGCTGAGAACATGTCTGTTTTGCAAAGGGATTCTGTAGCATTTGTGCACAAAAATGGAAAAAATTGACCACGCCTACCTAGCATTGTAGTATATCAAAAACTAATTATTTTCTCAATATGCTTATAACACGCAGAAATAAGCTTCAAAAACCTCATAGAGTATATCCGCATCTTCGTCTGTCCATCTGTCTGTTTGCGAAACTTTGTAATATATGTGGTAAACATTCTCCCATCAGCGAAAGTGAAGATATCGCCTAACAATTTGCAAAAGAATTCGGAACTGACCTACATTTTTCAAAGGACACGCCTACCACGCCCATTCCCTATTGTAGAGCATGAGAATTTTTTTTTTTTTTTCTATTTTTTGGGATAACGGTGATGGGTATAAAAGATTCCGTCCCGACTGAATTTAATTTTATTACCTTTTTTTTTTAATTTTTTTGAATCTCTTTTTAAATAAAAGTGGGATTTTAGTTTTCTATTTTTTTTTTTTTTTTTTTTTTTTTTTTTTTTAAATTATTACAACATTTTCTTTTGTCATACATAACCGACAAAATTTTCTGCACCATCTAATATTTCTTCACTGATTTATATTCTATTAACTCTTTTTCTGAATTAACTTCTCACGCACATCTTGGCAAAGTTTATCGTAAAAAAAGAAATAGAAAAAGAAAAGAAGAATAATAGTTGAATTCAATTTACGTTAGATCTTAGTATAAAATTAACTTTAGAAAGTTAACGAATAAATATTTTCGACAAATACCTAATTTCCGTGTAGCAGCTACCACATATCTGCTAGACAAATCTTCTGAAATCAATCTCTGCCACAAACACATTCGCATGAATATACGCCATGAAGGAAACTTTCGTGTAAAACCTTGAGCGTGTAGCTTTTGATGTGTGATGATTTTGAGGCTTATCACCAAACATGTGCGACAATTTATGTCAGCTTAAGTCTGTTGATGATATCTCTGCTATATGTGATATAAAAAGAATTTCGTTCAGCAATTTTTCGTGATTAAAGGACTCCTTGGGTATTCGATGTTCTACACCTTAGTATGTATTGAATTTGTACGCTATTATTTGCCTTTGTCTTTATTGTTGTCTTACCTGAGGACATTAAGCAGAAGAAACGAATTGAATTTTCAATAAATGACGCTGCAAGATTATACTTAATACTTAACGTGGAAAATGATGGGTAAATAAAGGAATGTAAATTAATGTGAAGGGCTTATCAAAATAAGCTGATCTCTTCAATTTGAATTTCGATATAAGAAAATGATGATTTCAAAGGGTTTGGTCTCTAAAATCGAAAGATATATTTGGGAGATAAATTGTCCTCTTTCAACAAACTCATGCCCGATATGTCAAGATATATCTGTATCCGAGTAAATTCCAGCGCTCAGATACGCGATTAAGATTTTTATTGATTATATAAATATATATTAAGTCAAAGTTTTGTAAATTTCTTCCTCTTTTTAATATGCGCCGCATAAAGAGAAAAAATACGCAAAAACATTTTTTTTAGACTTCTTTAGTGAAATGTGCAGAACTTCGTTCAAATCACTCTTTTACCTAAGCCTGAGCTTACAGAGGGCTAATAGACACCTGAATCGTAAATTACAAATTGTTGTAAACTTGAGAGCGTACAAAACGCACTTTGTACACTCTGTACCCATATAAAACGGACAATGACCGGTTACCCATACGAAACGTACAAAACTCATTTTGTATATCAAATATACAACGTACGCGCGTTTCTTATTATTACTGCACGAAAGGGGATGGGCATATTAATCTTTTCAAAACGTTTGCAACACCTGGAAGGAAGCTTCAAAGACTTCATAAAATCAAGAATATGCACTTGATCAGCATCAAATGCTAAAACAGTTTAAGCATGTCGATCTCTTTTTTGTCTGTCGGTAGTAAACGTTCTCGTGACATCAAATGGGCTTAAAATATTGCAGAAAAATAAGCCACGTGCGCGCAATATCATAGAATATGAAAACTTTTGTTTTCCTTTTTTTTTCGTCTTTCCTGGGATAAAGGTGGTGGGTATAAAAGAATCGGCCGCAGTTGAATATAATTTTCTTGCTTATTAAATATTTCTCACAATAAATGTGTAGTTCCTGGGAAAAGGTAGCATTTAGCATATACGTTGGCAATTCAACTGCATATTTTCTATTATTTATTTATATTCTGTAATATGTTGGAAAAGTTGCTTTTCTTTCTTTATATAATATTTCAATTCATGTATTTACCTTTAACCCACATATTACGCTGTTTTTCAAGCCAAACTTATATTCAGTTAATATTTAAATAACAAACGAATGCATAAACAATATTGTAAATATAATGTGCATAATATGTGCATGCATATATCTATATATATATATATATATATATATATATATATATATATATGTATTTAAATATCTAAATTAATCAATGAATGTCTGGCTGTGTGCCTGCATCCATTTAACAATTTAATGTTTAATGCAATTCAATGCAAATATGACAGAAAGTGTGAAACCACAGGTATATTAAAGAGAAAAAGTGCATTCTGCTGTCAAATGTGGTTGAGTAAATATTTTGCTGTGTACGTGTAGGCACAAAGGCATATATCTATACGTAAATATATATAAAGATACATACATACATACATACATACATACATACATGCATACATATATATATATATATATATATATATATATATATTTATTTATGTGTAGATAAGGTCTCATGCAATCATGTCAGCATATATTCCATGTTGAGGCTTAAAAATTTCTCCAGAGCATATAGCGTAAAACACTGTTTGCATTTATTTGCATAAATAAACAAGTAAATAGTGTAAAATATCTAAACAATGTTGGCATTAATATGTCTACCATTGGCTATTAATGAAAGAATGCTAAATGCTTCACCTCAATTATTAAAAAAAATTGTGCATTTTTTTTCTTAGACGAATGCCGATGAAATTTTATAAATTACGCAAAATATCTATGGGATTTTCTAATTATATTACCTGCCAAATAAAAAAAAAAAAAACAACATGTATCAAGAGAAGAACTTTTCTGATAAAATAGAGCAGTCGCTGCCGCCTTTTATTTGATGATGATTCACTTTTGTTGTTACATAGACACATTCAGAAGTTTTATGCCATATTGTAAGCATATACAGGGCTTTTCAATTAAAAATCAAAACAAGTAAAAACACTATATTGAAACATGGCTCATCATTAAACATCCTATACCACTTCTTATTTACTGATTGTTCAAAATGAGCCCATCTATTGGATGTTTCGCAAAAGTGTTCCGACCCAAAGCATTTTCAATAGCATTCGCCTTTGGGCCGGAACAGATCATTGTACATTATTTCATAAAGCATTGCAAAAATTGCAGCCTTTGGGTTGAACATAAGAAAACAAGACGAAGAGAAAAAGCTTAGATCGATTAAAAAAGTGATTCTCAACCGACCGATACAACAGCAGGTGAATTTATCTCAACTTCTGGTGGGTGTTATATACATCCGCACACACTTAATATACCCTCGTATCACATGCGGCGTAGGTTATAGCAAACACTTGAAGGCTGTCTCTTTCCTAAGTTACAGTTTGTGGCGAATTAAATCAAAAACAAATAAAATAAGTATTAAAAGCAAAAAAATATTAGGAAGCAAGCACATACGAAACACCGTAAGTCTTTAATTAAAAAGTCATGCTATCGCTACTAACTATAATGCGCAGTTACAGTACAAGCACTCAGAAGAAAGAAGAAAGAATGCGATAAACGTACCAAACATGTTATTATAACAATGTTAACAGCTATTATGTATGTGTCCTGAAAAATGTTGAAATCTAGCAAAAAAAAAAAAAAAAACTTAATTGCATTACTATATCACCGTCAAAATCGATTCAAATATACCCTCCCCACATACATGAGACATTACATTAATTGCAAGTTGTTCTGATAGGTTTCAGAGGGTCCGGTAAAACATATCAAAAATCTGCAGTTGCTTAAATTAGTCGTTAAAATTGCGTTTAACACACTTTGTATATTTTCGTCAATTGCATATATAAAATATATAGTATATAGTAACGATAAATTTCTCCTTAAACTTTTTTATAATATCAAGTATTTAGTGGTCTTTGTGTTTACTTTTTCTCATCATTTGTTATTCTCTCAATACCGTTCAATTATCAACTGCCTTAGCAGAGGCGCAAACCAAGTTCGAAAAGACAAATATCTGGACTATGCATTGTGGGCTAATTTCACGTCAGTAAATTTTTTTTGTATTTATAATAATTTCAATTCAACAGACACGAATGGGCGAGTGACTATACTTAATCGGTAGCACAATATGACTTTTTCAGAACGAAACGGAAGGATCACATTTCTAATGTAATGGGCAAACGAAATATAAATGAATGAATCAATATAATAATAATTGTATTGCATTGCTTACAGCGCTTAAAAGTATGCATTAAGTAGCATACATTCGTACGTGAACAGAAATCGTCTGATTACTGGACAAGATAGATTTTTCGATAAAAATTGGTTTAATGGATTTGAATATCTCTTCTGATCTATGGGTCGGTAGGGAATGTTATATAAAGTTATGCCCAAAAATTGAAATGAACAGATAATAATTTTTTAATTTCATAGGCATACAGAAATTGTTTGTGTATGTGTCAAATTAATGATCAAAAATGAGTTATGTCGCTACGTCGAATTTCGACTTATCACGAACGTAGCTTCATACGTGTAATTTTATGCTATATATTGCTGAGTTTAGGTCGTTGATGTGTTCGTATTTGTTCGATCCAATAAGACGATTAATAAGCATATGATTATTTTTAATTCATTGCTTAAAAATTTTTATTAATATTTTATGTTTTATTTTCTTCCTTTTTTTTGTTTTTTTTTTTTGTTTTTTTTTTTGTTTTTTTTTGGTTTTCTATTTTTCCTTGTTTTGAAGTTGCGGTCTCTTTTTCACATATGCCTTGTAATAGAAATCAAAGAACAGCAAGAACATGAAGATATTCTGCACGAAGCCCATGAAGCTTATAATAAATGGATGATTGCAGGTATTGTGTATGAGCACTTGTAGAAAATGTAACGTCAGATAACCGAATTGTAATAATTGTAATTGTGTTATATGACGTTTCCACCATAAAGTACCTTCGATTGGCTTTAACGACGTAATAAAGTAATACGAATACATGACTGTATGCACAAAAAGATTGATGACTCCAAGCATGGTTGAATGACTACCTGTGTATGGATATTGAGAATGGAAAAAAAATTTAGTAAATTAGAAAAACGAGTCAAATTTACAAAGCTGCATATGCATAAAAATTGCACACGAATACAAATATCGTATAGTACATAAATGTATACATACAAAAAAAAAAAAGAAGAGACTTACCAGGTAGAAAAGTCATGTATATATAGACTCCAAATATCATGCCACCATGATGATAAACATGCAGAAAAGTAATTTGCTGATTTCTCTTACGCAAAATAAAAAATATCTGTCGAAATGGAAAAGCGGATAAGAAAATTATATGCGCTTGATAGCGAAGTTCGGATGCCCATCATCTTAAGCAAGACAATAATAATGATTTGAAAGTTTCCTGCGCGCCCAGAGGCTTGAGAGATAATCTCGGTAAGTATTTGTGTTGTATGCTGAACTTACTAACAACAATTTATTTATATTTTCTTTTATTTTATAGAAGGTGTTTTTTTCTTTTCTTTCTCATTTTGTGCTCTCTTCAATAGTTTCACATAGATCTGGGGATAATTGATGTCTATTTTCAAAACTAATCCATGCATTATTTAGTTTAGTGGTAAAATCCTTTTAAGAGACGTTACATACATTCGTTACTGAAAATTTTAGTCCAGTTGATTATGATTCCGATAAGGATCTAGGATAAGCATGTGAAGGGGATATTTGATGTCTACTTTTAATACATTATTAACGAAAGGACGAAACTAACATACTTTTTTTGTTTCGATAATGGGCATCGTAAATAAAAGGGGAATAAAAGGAAAGAAAATGTGAAAAGTTGTGAAAAATATATTAACAAAATTTCAATAGACCCGTACTACTTACTGTATCGAATAGATCTAAATATTTCGTTAAATAATAACCATATGTTGCATAGAGTAAATGTATCATCCACGGTTCGGTATTGGTTGGATCGAGTGGTTGACAACGAAAACTGAAATTTTTGTGACCGTATGAATTTGGCAAACCCTATAAGGCGTATGGTATGATTTAAGGCAGCCATTAACTAAATTAATAGAGAACTCTTACATAAACGAGTAGAGTAAAATTCGCTAATACTTGAACAGCATTATAGAGACGCATTACGTATTTCAGTTTGTAGGGTTGACGGTTTTTCATCCATTCCGGCCCGTAATGTAAAACGAACGCCAAATACAAACCTAATATTGTAAGCATAGGTAATGGCGAGCCTACCAGCGGTAAATGTTCTACACGTGGATCTGAAATAAAAAAAAAAAAAAAAAAAAAAAACGAAAAAAAAAATAAAGAAAAGATAACAAGAACAAAAAAAAATGGAGAATTTTTCACTTTGAAATAATTTTCATAATTACCTGCATGTTTGGTATATACTTCAACCACTAGTTTATAAATGTGAATGATAACATGAAACATTTTAGTTTCTCTTTAATGCTGTTTTTTTTTTTTTTTTTTTTTTTTTTTAGCTTCTTTTTCATAAATGATTTATAGATTTTCTAGGATTTCTCAATGATAGCTAACGATGTTATCGTCAAGCCTGCTTATTGGCAAATGAATTATGAAATATTTTCTTTGAGACATTGTAAAAGAATTTTATATAATTCCTCCCTTTACGCTTATATAATGCCGTTGATAAAAAAAAGCAAAATTAATTTTCCACCTCTTTAATCTACATTTACATATTACAATAAGTTTTAAATTAACAACGCAGGTTAACAAGGTCGCTATTGATATGCTAATATTAATCGTTAGCGCATTTCTAAGCATAATAATGAAACAATTAAATTGCGTAAGCTATTGTAGATCGGTATATATCATGGTATGATTTCAAAGAATTTTTAAAATTCCTCAAAGCGTTATTTGTTTACGCTTAGCATAATAGCATAAATAAACAAGTATTTTGAAAAATATATATGTATATAATATTTATTTATATCCCGTTATATATTATTGTAAGCACAGTTGGAATGAATTGACAAATTTTACGTATTCGAAATTTGGAAATTCGGCTTAACTCACGTTTAACTTACAATTTCATTTTGATTCGCGTCCTGAATTGCTTCCTGATGATTGTAAAAGCGATTTTTGTCTGAGAAAGTTGCTTACATAGTGATTCCGTTTTCTTTAACAAAAACCCATTTAATTACAAGGACCATCTAATCCAAGTTGTCGGCGATCTGACAGATGTGCAATAATCCTATTGATAACAAGGAGCGTATTATGCACCTCAACAAATTCAAAAGGCCGGAGATTGCAAACGGATAGACCCACGTTTCATTGATAAGCTATACTACACGAAAAAAAAAAACAAAACCGAGCTTAAGCTCTTATGAGGGCAAACGAATGACGGGCGAAACTTAGTTATTGCACGGGCTGCTCTTATGCCCTGAGCCACTCTATACCCTGCTCTATCTATGGTCTTCGTCGGTTCATAATATTGTATTCGACAGAGTTGCAATTGCAACAAATTTTCCAAGTAACAATAAATATATATATATATATATATATAGTCTTTGTTCGAGACTATGTTCAATATTATATATATTTATTTTTCTCTTGTCCGAATATTCAATATATATACGTAATATCATTTAATTGATATGTTATACGGCACTCAACAACTCTCCGGTCTACATACACATATATGGCAACAGTGTTGGCAAACTCATACCATTCAACTAAAATTGCAATATCTTTTTGGTTGCCTTAGAGAGCGACACCCAAGTCGAATAGATCTTGTCCATGGACAAATGTTTATACAAAATTATACTGCGTTGTAATATTCTTAAGGTGTCAGTTGTCTCATGCAGCTTCCAGCAGCAGTCGGTCTTCCAAAACGATTTTCATATTTTTTTAGGATAAGTGTTGAGTTCGCTCAACCAGAGCGTTCAGTATCATCGAAATCCATACAACTGTGCTTAAAATTCACTCTAAAATTGATTTTTCCGATAGACAAGAGTCGCTAAAAAACTTCTCAACTCGGTGCTGTTTGCGAACGGTATACTTTCCCATCAGAAAGCAACGGTTTTAAGAGCGTTCTTTAAAGTGAATAAAAATATATTATTACGATCGGTCCAACAACATTTGATGTTTTTCGGCTAAACAACGCCATAGCTTCATTAAATGCTCTTTGGCTCTAATTGTGAAAAACAATGCAAATCTCGTTTTCAATCGAATCGTCATTAAGCTGTGAAAGTAATTTTTTCCTTTTTTTTTTTTGGATTTAAAAACTGTTGTCTCATACCTTGAAGCGGAAATATTTTTTATAACATTATGTAACATTATAAAATGTACAAGAATGTATTTTTTCTCACTTCGACACTTGAGTGCAATTGTGTATGTGATTTCTATATTCAGTTTTTGCTGTGTTTTAGAGTAGACATTGCCTTCGAAAAATTGCTTCCGTAAAAGTTGAATATGTGGTTTAAAAAAAAATCCCGGACTGACTATATATTTCTATTGTTCAGCCATTATACTCTTTACACCAACAGTTTTTTCTTTATTGGTAGTGTGGTACCATACTTTCTAATCTTTAATAGTTTTTAATTCAATGCAATTGTGCTTCTTATACGCAATCATCATTCGCTCGCACAAAAAGTACTTAACTAACATGTACGGCAAACTGATTTTATCAGAACGTTTGCAATACATAGAAGAAGAAGACGAAGAAGAAGAAAAACAACATCCCGCATTTGTGATTCGATCCAGACATACCCGTCCGTCCGTCCGTCCATCTGTCCGTGTAATCTATCACTCTCAGTCGGAGCAAAACATTCAAAGTTTTTTCACGTTCAAAATGAGCCAAATTCGTGAAAGTCTAAATTGACGATACAGCATAAGCCGAGAGCATCTCAGCCTTTAAAAGTAAAATAAAATGGATTTTTTGCTCGCTGCTCATAACAACTTCGCAGGTATTTTTTATGCGGGATTTGTGTCTTGAAAACATTGAAAAATTGGAAGAAAGTCGACCCATTCAATATTGGAAAGTATGGATATCCCATATTTTTTCGTGGGGGGCGGGATTAAAGAGATTCGGCCACTATCGAATATAATCCTCTTACTTGTTTGTGGTATGTAAGCAGATTTTTTTTTTATATCGTCAATTTGTTATACGTGCCACACGAGTATTCATTAAATCCCTTTTTGATTGACTTTATGGAGTTTGTGCAAATACATTTTGTTACAGAAATAAGCTGAAAGCAAAAATTTCTGGTCTCTGTTGAAACGCAATTAATTAGACTTTCACTAAATTAACCTTTCGTTTCACGATTTTTTTTTTTTTTTTTTGCTTTTTTTTTACTTCATTTAATCGTCCATTGTCGGCCAACAGCTTCCGTTTCCCTTTTGATATGTCTGGCTAAGACAGTCATTCATTTGTAATAACAACAAAGGAAACAGTATTAGCAAATGATCTTTACGCAAATGCACATTTCGTTGATGCACACACACACACACACACACACCCCACAGACAAGCCATTAAATATATAACGATAATTATTATCTATTTAATGTACATATATATATATATATGTATTTTTTTTTTGTTGGGTTAGTTTAAATGTAATATTAAAGTTTCCTTTGTGTCATAGTGTGAAAATTTACTTAAAAAAAAAAAAAAAAAATTAAAAATAATAAATAAATCAAAATTTATCATTGGATTGCTTTTAACATAAACGGATCTTGTGTGCTGACTGGAGATTTACTATACATTAGGTTGGCAACGACGATTTGCGTTAGCAAATAATCAAGCATTTGTGTAACTTCTGAAAGAATTAATAACACGAGGTATGTGTACTAATAAAGCCTAGCAACGGAAGAAGTGAATAAATTATTAATATTGGGCGCGAAAGAGTTATTAAAAACGGAAATTTATTAGTTTTCTGATGTTGTGCGTGAATTAGGCAGCAATGACAGGTATAAACGTATAAATATTATTGATTAGCGTGAGCTTCCCTTTCAGGTAACCTTGCCAATCTGAGAGCCTGATCGGCTCTCTCGGCTGTCTGTCTATACATATGATTGCCTATTTATCTGAATGTGTGCTTCGCTCTCTATTGGATCCTCTCAGTTGAATTTCAAACCCTCGCACTATTTCATTTAATATTTATTCACTTAATATTCCTGCGCCAATTTCTTCTTACTGTGTTGTTACGCGTATGCGTTACATTTTCAAAACAATTCCACGCACAAAGTATTCAAATAATTGTGCGGTCACTGTCAAGATAAGTAGGGTATACATATAAATTAAGTTTCAAAAAATCGCAAATTTTTAATATGATGAGATGAGATTTTTGTAAACCAACCGACTAGGACAAGTATCGGGATGAAATTGGTTTGAATAGTTGTTAGAACGGCCTACTCTCACATGGACAGTTAACAAAATATATTTTTACTTTATTTTTTTGATCAGCCATGAGTCGGGTGTTCCCTGTACGTAGGGGCACGATGATAATGAAAAAGGATTGAATAAAGTGAAAAAGGTAACTGTATTTTTGCACGTTCGACGTAATTGTGTGAAAACGGCCTGGAACGGCGGATTATTTCAAAAGATTAGTATACAAGATTTTCTTTAAGCATTTTTTTTTTTTATAAAATTCATGCTTTTATTATATTATTTTTCTTTATATTACATTTTTGCTGAGCATTCGACAAAAACCTGAACAAATATGTTCGGAATAAAACGAATAAACTCAGGTGGCGGATCTCTTTTGAATTTCTATTAAATATTAAATTGAAATTTATTCGCTTCATTACTGCACGCAGGTTCTCTTAACTGTGCACGTGGTTTGCCTTAATTAGTTATGTAGTATTTACACTGAGGTTAATTTTATTAATTTCATCAATTTTCAGCTGGCACGCAATGTAAATGATATTAAAATTTAATCTTGAAAACGAAATCCGTTAACTACATAGCTTTAGCTAAAAAAGCACGGAGAGGATATTGGGAAATGTTCACTTGCATGTAAATTGGCGAGTATTTGAATGAGAAAGTTCGGTTTTCAACTAAAAAACTTCAATAAAAACACAAACAATATTATCCGTTAGTGTGTACCGCCTAAGTCGAAATAAAGGAGTGAGTTAATAACATCTATGTGATCAAATAATCGTATATAGAGAGCTCTGTTAGCCTTTCGATTTGATCGAGGACGAACCGTTGCGTTGCCTGAGCGTCATTCACAGTTTTCATATACGCTTCTCCGCCCGACATTTAGATCCTACCCCAATCACGGTATTCACTGGTTTTCAATCATTGTAATGCATAGTGCAGTGATCAAAAATTAAGACCAAATAGTTTTTTTTTTTGTATTTTATACTTACTTCACTTTACGTTACGATTTGAAAATTTGCCACACTTGCAATCATTTCTCCTGATCGTTCGGGGATGGTACATGGATTGTTTGTGAAAAGGAAGAACGCATATAATTGATCCTCGAAGTACTTACGCTCTTGAATGCAATGTAAATGCTGCTGCTTCTGCTTTCTCAAATGGAATGATGATGACGACGATATTATTGAAATTATTCTCAGTGTGAACGCGTTGTTTTACGATCTACTCATTCGTCCTC